CAGACAGCAGTGGGGAGGAACTAAAAGTTTTCAAGAGTATTCCAAACAGAAGAAACAGTCTGTGCAAAGGCACACATGTATAAGAGCCATTTTTTTTTTTTGAGGGATTTCAAGAACTATGCTGTAAGTGACATGCTGGAATAATTGAAGAGGATGCCTAAAAACTGGCAGACTAGGAGAATGGGGCAGGTGGGGAAGGGTATCTCATCACTACTGCAAAGGGTGATCGCTGTCTTATAAACAAGGCAATGTCTGAAAAGACCTTAATACCAGCATGGAACACAAAGTGAACTGGGGAGACTATGCTAGAATGCAGAAGACAGACTATTTCTTCACTTAATATTTGCATACGTGAGTTCCATAATCCTATAAATCAATGGTGTTAATGTCCAGTAGTGTTCATCTTACAAAACCCAAGGGTCCATTATGGTGAGATTTGCTTGTTACTGCGTAAAATAATGAACTTCAGCAGGTGGGTGAAAGGGTCAGCTACCTCCCAGTATCTTGCATTTGTGTTTTTTCTTAAAAAAAAATGACTGCTGTAAATTGTGCTTTTCTATCATCTTACCTTACGTTGTACAGATCCCATTCTCACCGATTTCACATCCACAGACTGGTAAGTAAGCCACAGGCCTGTGTCTACATGTTGTATGTAGCACACCGAGTCACCATATTTTATTTCAGATGTTCCCATGCCATCGACTTCTTTTCTCACCCCTACATCCAATTTTTCCTAAGAGAGTGGGGGGAAAAGACCAGTAAATGTTTTAAAAATACCAGTAGGAGTATATATCAATAGAACTTTGCCTTGCTGTAAATAAGTTCTTTGAAAGATTCAGCATTCCAATGACCCCTGAAATCATAGTGGTCAAATATTCTATTCTGACAGTTCAAGATCTACAGAAAATCAAGGTAGGAAACTGTAAAAATAAATAAAATATTCTTGAATTATTCACATTGGTAGAAAATTAGTTCGGCTATAACATAAAATTTTATATTGCTTAATGGCAAACTCAAACCAGAGATTCTAGAATTAGTACTTTAGGCTTAATTTGCTTCCCTTTTTTTTTTTT